TGTGTGTGTGTGTGTGTGTGTGTGTGTGTGTGTGTGTGATCATAAAAAATTCCATTTCTGAGTCAATCTGCATACATTCACGTGATTACTTCAATAATGAGATCCTCTGTCTATCTTCCAAAGAAACACAGCAGTTTTTTCAAATGACAAATTCAAATCTATAAAATCATCTGGAATTTTGGGTTTGAAGCTTATCTCTTACAAGCTGATCATAGACATAGTACTCCGTTCTAAATCGAGGGCTTACCCCTGAAATCTTACAGATAAGGCCGGTTTTTTGACCCGGGTAAGTCCGCCTATACCTTTAGACGTTCAATCTGCTGGGAGGCCTTAACATGGGGTTTTTGGGCAACGTTTCACTCACTGCATTCTACCTTTATGCGCAATCCTCATGTCGACACTGTTTGAAACTGTGATTTTTCTGCTTTAGGATAGTGTAGCCCAGTCTCCATGGACGCGCGTATCCCGTTTTATGGCTACTACTCAGACGATCATTGAATTCGCCGAAGGAAGAGCCCCCAGACCAACGGATAAGGTAAGAGGCCCGTCTTGAGGACTTCGAAAATGTGCAACAGAGCTGTCACACTGTTTACCAGATAGTCTATGTATGCGGAGCATTTGACATGTTTCACATCGGGCATCTGTCATTTTTGGAGGAAGCAGCAAAACTTGGCGACTACTTAATCGTTGGTATCCTCAATGATCAAGTATGAACTCTTTTGCATACATACATTTGATTAATACATCAGTCTCATTCCAAGGTGATCAACGATGTCAAAGGGAGTAATCATCCCATCATGTCCCTTCACGAGAGAGTGCTCAGCGTATTGGCATATAGGGCATGCTTTGACTACTTTCGTAGTTTGTTTGAAATGAAACACTCCTTTAGCCAGTCAACGAGGTTGTAATTGGAGCCCCGTACTGTGTGACTGACGATATTATCGACAGATTTAACATATCGGTAGGAATTGTTACCCCGCTAAATCTCTCTGATATTAACAAGGAGGCTTTAGATCGTTTGCCAGGGAAGTCGCGTTCCCCATCACGATCGCTCTGGTAATGATCCCTTTGAAGCGCCAAAAAGAAGAGGTGATTTCCTGCAAGCATATGCATTAATTTAAATGTCTGCACCAGGTATTTATCGTGAAGTGGACTCGGGCAGCGATATGACAACCGAAAAAATCATCGAGAGGATTATCGAACACAGGTATGAACATCACCTATTTCCTCAACGTTCGTTTCTGCATGGTAGCAGATACATGTCACCATGACTGTTGAATTCGAAATCAAAATGCATACAAGATGTGGTTGCTCTTCATTTGTGCAAGCGATAAAATCGCCTGTACAATCAATAAATAAGAAAATAATGCAAATTGCAATAATCGCAAAAAGCTGTTGCTCTAGATGAAGTA